AGCACTTCATCAGCCAACTCTCGCTCGATAGCGGAGAAGTCGAACAGAGCAAGGCTATATAAACCTTAAAAACAGAGTATGCATAATTAATAAGCATAAAAGGGCTCTCTCTATCGCCTGGATAAAAATAGGCCCCGCCCATCCCAATCAGCTGCTGCATGACGAGTTGATGACGACAACCACTACTTACCAGCAACCAATCTAGGGATAGCGTACGTTATTTATATACACTGTGGCGTACGTGACAGTAATGGTGCAGCGGTTGCAAAATATTACATTGTTATTCAAACGGTTTTTGCTTTTAGGGCCTTGTTAGATGAGGATGAGGTTAGATTAGATGAGGTGTTGATGAAGGCAGGTATTTTTTTTTTTAATTTTGACAATTTTTTGCCCTTGTTTTACTTAATAGCTGAACCCGGGACCACCTGAAGCACCTGAAGTCTAAACCTTATTTTATATAACATGTCAATGCTGATGCTGTCTTGAAATGTGAAATTTAGACAATGGTAATAGGAATAATGAATAGCAATTTCACCAACAACATTTTAATCTCTAGGAAGTGCAATTAAGATTAAAATCACTGTCTGCCACACTGCTCCATCCTGGTCATGCAACCAACGTTCATGGGTGGTGTTTCACGGCAGAGCACGCACTTGAGCACTGCAGTGCGCTGCGTGTGTCAGAGCATTGCAATTGGGTTTCCATGGCAGTGTCAACAAACTTCACTGTGACGCTAAGCTATGACAGCATCCCAGAACGCTGCACGCTGCGGTACCAGCACCAGCAGCATGCTAGCAGTATTTGAACTCAAACCTCTGTTCTTGGTACGGTTTTTCAGAACCTCTCACTCTGTTCCAAACGTGATTGATCATAAACTAAGAGATCACATGCAACGTCATTTGAGTGATGCTATGGTATGCCGTAGCTACCAGTGCACACAGTGTCTGGATGGTGAAACAGGGCCATTATTAATCACATTTGCTTTGCTTTGTTTCAGCAGAAACTTGTCTGCACATGGGAGGAGCGCAACAAAAGCCCATCAAGTTCATGCATGGCAGTGGATCTCAACAGGAGAAAACCAGAAAGAACATGGCTGCTTGTAGATTGCAGTTGTACACTGCTGTTATCACCTGATGTGCGTGGCTGGCATTGCTCCTGGCAAGAACCACCTGCAAGTGATGAGATGGTGCCTCAGTCGTTGAGTGTGCTGCAGTGTGAGAGGTGCCCTGATCTCTACTTTGTGATGGGTTTCCATTGGAGGTTCAACTGAGAAGTGAGAACTGACTGTGACCATGCTTGAGCATGCCAGTGGAGCTTTACATGCTTAGGGCAGCTTTTGAACAGATGCTGACCATGGCATGTCCCATCCAGTTATCACGTGCACAGAATGGTGGGGGGAGGGCAACTCTGGGCTCTTGAGTCAGCCCTACTGCACAGGGGGTACAGATGGCCGCTTACGTTTGGTGTGTCCTGCACTGCATTATCAAGCCCAGTCTGCGCCACAGGCAATGGGTCGGGCTGCACTATATTAAAGGCAGACTATCTTGCAAAGGAGGCTGGCATCCTCTCCCATAATGACACACCAATTGGCAATCATCGCTGCGATGATCACGAGGGTGTCTGCTTATCTAACATGGTGAGGTGGAGAGCCAGTTCAAGCTGGCCTGAGGGATGGTTTTACTTCATCTGAGGCCCCCTTTCCCCGCCTGCCAGGTCCGGTCAAACGACCGCTTCACAGTGAACGACTTGCAGTGGATGCCGTCCCACAGCGCAACGAGCTCGCCGACCAGAGGCGGCGGCCAAGAGGCGGCCGCGCTCCCCCAGTCGACGGTCCCGGTGGACGTCGGCAACGCCCACCGCGCGACCATCAGATCGGCTCGCGACAGCGCCGTCGCCGACTGACCGCATGACTGGTATCTGTTCTTGATGTGGGACCGACTGCCACCGCCGGTCGCGGAAGGGCATCGCTCATCGGCCATCGACGTCCACCAGCTTCGCGTGGGTCACTGTTCGGGCTGCCACCAATACACCGAATCGGATGGAACCCTGTCGGCGAATGCCGGCGGTGCCCCGACATCGACTGCGCGGCGGCCAGTGCATCGCGTGCCGGGAGGAGGCTGGCACCCCCGATCGGTCATTGGTCACAGACCGTGTCCCAGCTCATGACTGCATCCAGCGCAGCTCTGTGAGATGTTCTGCAGCTGCTGCAGCCTGCCGCGTGTGTTGAAAGAAGAATGAACATGAGAAAACCTCAAAACTTTATGCCTATTCGTAATTGACCAGTATTGGAATAAGTTTGGATTTTGAGAATTTGTGTCCCTGTGCTTGTGCCTGTGTGGAAAGGCATGCTTTACGGTGTACCATCTCAATGTCAAATCCCGGCTGCGCTGTGCGGATTTGTGCGGCTGCTGACAGGCCACCTGGGTGCCAACGTATGTGCGAATCCGCGAATACGTTGTGTTTCGTCAGTCAGTATCGTTCTGAAAATGTTGACTGCAATAGGCTATATAGCGTATGACGGTTCAGCCCAGCAGTAATAACTGACCATTGATTGGGCGAATTTTGTGTGGTGGTTCGCTAATACATAACCTAAAGAGTGTTTTGCCGGAATCGTTTAGTAGCAGAACTGACCGGAATATCAGTAGAATGCAACGGTTTGAATCGTTAATTTGTTGAAACGATTGTTCTCTGAGACCACTGTGTAACTTTTGACCTGAGAATCACCAATTATAACGACAATGGGGAAGCAGTAGGCACTGTAGAGTGTAGGCAACACTATATAGTTGGCACACTTACGGAAGCACACGACTTACGCAGTGGACATCTGCATCATGCATGTTAAGGTTTACTGGGAAGAGTGAGAAATTAGTCAGAATATAACTGACTAAGGAAAATAGGCGATATTTCCTATTGAGCTGGGGCGGAGAGGGGGAGGGGACGTGTGGTCAGCTATGCCAATAATTCATTCTCTTTATGCAGTTGTGTAAAAGGGCGTCCGTTTTTGGGTGAGACCTTCCCCATCGGCCATTTCCAAGTTAAATCGTGGTGGAGAGTCTGGAGACCTCAGCCTCGGTAGTCGGTACCCTGCGCGCTGCGCCACCTTGCGAAACATAAAGCAGCAGTCCTGACATCTACGGGCGTGACTTTTCATGAAAGCGCGGATGTGTTCGCGCTTATGCGAAGAAAATTTTTCCGAGTATGGTTGATGATGAGATTGATTGTTGTCATTTATTTATTAATTCATTGGCAAAAGTACCCTAATAAATCGGTAAAGTAGCTTGAACTGTATCGTATTTCCTTGGAAAAAAATGACGAACTCATCCTAAGACATCTAGATTATTGGATGCGTTCGTCAGTTGTAAGTAGTTCAAGTTTTTGGGAAAAGTTGCTTGTGGAAAATCATAATATTTCAAAGATATGCCTATTTTCGAATAATTAATGCATTTATCTGCATTGAAAAATGATTGTAAAGCAAAAGTGCAAAGGATTATTGTCAACTTATTTTCTCAAATCACGATCTACGAACGCACAAAACTCCAGCTTTTAATTTAGTGCGTGTGCGAATTGCGGTCAAGAAAAAATATTTAAACTGTCTATATTCCTCTTAAAACAATGAAGGATGAATGAGGAAAACGCTGTTTTGAACAATTGTATATTTATTTTTTCTTAATTAAGCAAAAGTACAAAATTTTCAACTATTATTACATTTGCTCTCACAAAACCCATCACTTTTTAGCATGACGTCATGTCAGCCAAATTTACTAGCGCCATCTCTGGAGAGCATCTTTCGAAACCTCCAGACGATAGAGAGAGCCCATAAAAGGGCCCCACTGATCAAATGTTATGGGATTAAGTAGGCTTTTTGGTTCGATTGGTTCGAGATCAAGATATATAAGTGTGTAAAAGTCGGGCGGGAAATCAGGTTGAGATAGGAATCTTGGTTCTAAGAGTTTCCTAGCTTGTATCAGGTTGAGGTTGTAGGTAGGTAAATACCTATGCAACTTTGACTTTCGACCAACTTTACTGTTACTGATAGTATGATACTGACGCCTTGCTTTGGGGGTGGGTTCTTGTTTTTACATTTTATTTCAATTTGCGTGCTCTGGTTTCGATTGAGTCTGTGAATGTACTCTGAATTGAAGTAACACCATTTAATGGTGTTACTAACACTAATGGTGACCATTAGTGTTCTAGCCACTACATAGGTATCCTCTAAACGTGAACCTTGACCTCTGATGGCGGACTCATGTTAAAAGCTGCCGATTGCCACAAAACTTTCAGTGCCCTCGCATTAATCAATTTTACACCTACCCTGAAAATTTCATGACCCTGGCCCAATTTATGACCTTTGACCTGTGAGTTGTGACCTAGGTACTTTTTTAGACCATGTTTGGCCGGCATCGCCATTCGGCGTGTCGGCTCACATTAGCTGCGCGTTTGCAGTCTTTTCGTGGTTTCAAGCGTTCAAACATGTGTTATGATGTTGGTCCCATGCATAAGGGTTGGTGTCAAGCCTCAAGGTCATTTGGAGCTCGGATCAGGTCATTGACCTTTGATGACCTCGGTTCACTTTTTCGAGTTGTACATGTTTCTAGGCTAGTTTTTTTTAGCTGAATTTGAATTTAGCAACCATTTGAACATTTACGAAGAAGTTTGGTGCCTTCGTAATGTGACACGAAGCTGTCAGAGGCGGTTGGCACGTAGGTACTACGAATACGCGACGTACTACGAATGCTCGATAGTTGACCTGACCTGGCCTAAATGCATGAAGACATCATCTGTGATCAAAACTAACATGATATTCGTTATCAGCACCCCGAAAACCCCTATAGCAGCCGCACTTTACGATGCTCTAACAGGTCCCGATTTTCCCGACTTTTGGCCGGGTCATTGACCTAACCTGGTCAACCAATGACCTAGAACCTTAAAATTGGGTATCATCGGCTTCCTTTCGTCACGGGCAACACGCTTTTTTCGCAAAGCTCTAGCTCGATCAGGAGCCAAACGGCGAGAGGGGTCCAACGGACGACGGACCCCCCCCCCCCCCCATACGTTCGAGGCTGGCAAAACACCAATGCGGGCCAAGGTTAAGCCAATTTCTATGAATTGAGGTGCCGCGCTAGGTCTGCATTTGCCAGCTAGTGCAGAAGGTCCTCAGTGGGCGGAGCTGCGACCTTGATTAGCATCTGCGCTTCCAGCGCCGTGCGGCAAGCCGCAACTGGTACCATGTCTGCCTCGGCCGTGACCCCACGGTGGGGGGACCGATCCGATGCAGTTGGTGACGAACTGCGGCGCGCATCTCACGCCCCAGCACCTCCATGTCAGTCCTGGCCGTCGCTGGCAGCCAGGCGGCCGTTGTGTGTTCGATGGCCTATCTGACGTGGCCGTTGGCGACAGCTCGGGGCTGCCGCTTCTCCAGGCCCCAGCTGCGGCCAGTGATGTGTCGAAGCTGGGCGATGTGGGGGCGGACACGGCGGCGAAGGTTGCGGCAGTGCGGGCCGAGCCCCGGGGTCCTGTCCAGCACCACGTACTTCACGCCGAGCAGCTCTATGCAAATCTTATTTTTAGCCGTGCATCAGTGAATGCTACCCCAGGTTCGAATACATGTTCTGGAGTAGTCTGAGCATTCAGTTCCGTGACTGTTCTATCATTTTCTAGAGTCAAGGCAGCTTGGAGTGGACAGTCCCGACTCTGACTCTTGGGTTGTTGCCATGACTTCAACTGACTTCCACTCCAAAGCTCCGATACAAAATGGATTTCGAGGGATTCTGAGCTTGTATTGGAAGTTTCTCTGTTACGTTGGGCGTGGTTTCATTTTTTTTTATAAATTGGATTGTGTTACCCCGTTTCATTTTTTTGTATTGTAATGTAACTGTTTGACTATTTCCTTAGCACTGTACAGGTGGATAATCACTGACAAGTATTGGGGCCTTTCTCAGAAACTGGTAGGTAGCGCCGTTTCACTGTCAGAAGCTGCCTACCCCTGCTGACACCGACCGGCTGGGGTCTCTGCTCTCCCCGCGCCTGGGACGCGGCCCGGCAGCGCTGCGCCGCCATGGCCGACCGGCTGACGCAGCTGCAGGACGCCGTCAACGAGCTGGCCGAGCTGTTCTGTAACAGTGTGGGCATCCTGCAACAGCAGGCGGCGCCCGGCCACTTCCCCGGCTTCGACCGCGCCGGCGGCCGCACGCCGCAGCACGTGCAGCCCGCAGAGGACTACGCCCAGCTGTTCGCCACGCTCATCGGACGCAAGGCCAAGGACATTGACACGCTGATCGACTCGCTACCCAGCGAGGACTCCTCCACTGAGCTGCAGGTAAATGAACCCCCTTCCCCACACCGAGCTGCAGGTAAATGGACCCCACCCCCACCGAGCTGCAGGTAAGGACTCCTCCACCGAACTGCAGGTAAGTCACTCTGCTCTCAGAGCTCTACAAACTACGGGTGAATGGGAAGTCCTCCACCAAACTGCAACTTTTCCGCCGAACTGTAAGGGAGATCCCACTATCACTGACGACCCTGTGAGGACTCAACACCTCGCATTAAGAAGTGGGAGCGACTGCTGCCGTATGGCACCTCGCTGGCCCTGTATTCGCCCCGTAATCGCCACGCCATATGTGGAAGGCTTTTGATGTCAATACATACATACATACATGCATACATACATCCATACATACATACATACATACATATTCGACCCCGAGCCCACCGCTAACAGGGCCACCTCTGCCGGCAGCTGTCGGCACTGGAGCTGCTCGAGCGTGAGAACGAGGCGGCCGGCCAGCGGCTGCGGGAGGTGGTGTCCCGCGGCGAGCAGCTGCTGCAGCGGATCCAGGAGGCGCTGCACGATATCGCGCAGAGCCAGCTGGACACGCAGCTGCTGCTGGCCGGGCATCGGCCCGAGCCGTGAGAGGACTGCGAGCGCGAGTGCACAACGGTGGGTCCGCGGCGAACGGACGCCAGTGGGAGTGACGGGGTGGGACTTCTTTGACGGCATCCCTACCGCCCGGACATGGTCAGCGAGGGGCGGTGCTCACCGCTGGAAGGCGCAAAGTGCAGTGGACGAGGAACTTGCCGTGCGCTGGAAAGACGCTGCTGTGTTGTGTTGAGAGACATGTTGGATGTGTGGGGGGGGGGGGGGGTGGGAATGGGGGTTGTCTAGCGCTCTTTTGTACGTTTGTCCCATACGTTTTCACAGGATGAGGTGAGGGCATAGCTCGGCGACATCTCACATTGAAGGTGCACGTCTTTAAACGTATCGTAAACGCGAATGATGTATGGTGGCATTTTTATACGCGAAAGGTACAGCGGTTTGAAGCTTGGCGCTGCCATTATCATTCGTTATTATTTTGTTTTGAACTTCTGTGTGGCCATTTATATTCTGGAGATTACGAACTTCTCTAATTTCTGCTGATTCATTTATTCTGAAATTGAAATTGTGTGTGTGTGTGTTTTTTTTTTTTTTGCATAATTCGTGACGCCTATGTCGAATCAGACACGTCACTGGGTGTAATCCGGATGCATTGGGCCATCTTTATTATCTTCGTGAACATGAACTTGTTCAGCTATGACATATTCTGTAAATAAATTTGTTGAGACTGTGCTATTTATCCTGTCCAAAGTATCGGACCATTTCTTATCCACTGTTTCCGATAGCGGCTCATTACCAAAGTCAGCACGTTTTTGGGGTCTAAATCGAGGACATGAAGCGTCGACACGTTTTCAGTCTAACGAGTCTTCCTTTTGTGACCCTGTTGTTACACTTCCTGCGAATTTTACTTCGACTAATGCACTGACGTCCTAAAGTTCTTACAAATTGGTGCCTGCACCGCAGTGTTTATGTCGATAATGTGATTGCGATCATCTCTGGTTTCATCAAATTGTTTTCGTTGCGAAACTACGGATCCTCTGCCTACACATCATGATGATGATGATGCTGTTGAAGGGCACTACGAGCCACAAGCCTGTCACCTCCATATGTTTCTTTCACGTACTGGCGTAGACCTTTGTGGATTTCCTTGATTTTGCACCAAGAGAGCAGCAATGGGCAAGAAGAAAGGAAAGGGGAAGAAGAAGAAGGCCAAAGAGCCGAGTAAAGATCCGAAAATCACCATCGCCGAATACCTGTGAGTATATTGCTTCTGTAGCCCCCCCCCCTACACACACACACACACACACATACGCACACTTTGTAACGTTGCTGATTGAGTTGAGCTGATTTAGGCCATATGTTTCAGATAGCGAGATCCTTTAACGTCCACAGATAGTTCTTATTCAGCCATCAGCCAACGGTGTCTAAGGTTGCCTAATTTAGTGTCTGCCACAGTGTCACTCCTCCACGCCTCATATGACGTGATTTCCTCTGGCAGGCTGGACTGCGGGACGCAGAAGAAGCTTCGTCTGATGGAGAACGCCAAGGAATGGGAGGATGAAAACCGCGAGCTTAAGACCCAGGTACCTAGGTAATTACGATCCCGCTGTGTCCATAACCTGACATTCAAAATTAACAGAACTCACATCAACCCATGACCTCTTCTCGAACAGAATTGACATCAGCCTGTGACTCCATCTTGCTCTGTTGACTGCTGCCTGGGTGACTGGATGTGACTGATTCACCGCCCTAACAGCCTTGTCTTGTCTTGTCTTGGAATACCGCCCACAGCCTCACACCCACCCCTAATTATCTCGTGTCGCACTGTGCTTCAGGTGGGCGGCCAGCGCTCGGAGCTGGACGCTACCATCGCGTTCCTGCGCCGTCAGGAGGGCTCCGAGCGGCGCGCCTGTGACGAGGACGTGGCCGCGCGAGACGGCGAGATCGGAGAGGCGGAGGCGCAGCTGCGCGCCGAGCAGCGCCGCCACGAGCGCGCAGAGTTCGGTGAGACGCCGGCCGGCCGCGCGTGGGGCGGGGCAGAGAGGTCCGTGGGGAGGGACCGGGACACCGCGCTGCTCGAAAACACCCCATGGAGTGCATATGAATGAAAAAAATGATTGTTTCCCTTCTCAACGATAAACGTAAATTGCTCATTCATTAGAGTGCTAGAAAAAGAACTGAGAGGGTGGATCCCTAAGAGCCAAGAGGGCTAAACGGGTTGATAGGTGGAGGCCGGCTGGAGCCGTGCATGTGTCGTGGCTGGTAAGCTAGCGAGACTCTCCGCCCGTTCGTAAAACCGCGTCTCTGCCCTCAGAGCTGTCGGAGTAGACATGTCCCTATCACCGGCCTCTGGCCTCTGGCCCTCAACTGTTGTGGGAGGCTTGTCTCCCATACCGCACGTCTGTCCCTCAGAGCTGTCGAAGCTTATGTCCCTTATATTGTGCCTCCGCCTCTCAGAGCTGCTGTCAGAAGTTCAACTCTCACATTACTCCGGTGCCCTCTAGAGCTGTCGGAGGAGGCCTCTCCCTATCACCGCACCTCTGCCCTCACCTTCCCCTCAGAGCTGTCGGAGGAGCTGCGAGAGGTCATGATGGAGGCGACCGACAAACAGGAGCAGGTCGACTTCTGGAAGAACTACCCCTTCAACCAGAACCTGGAGAAACGAGAGAAGATAAAGTGCCTGAAACTGGGAATTCAGCAGATCGACCAGCTTCATGACGCCTTTGAAAGTGAGCCCCAACCTATTATGTCAGTGTCTACGGTCGTCGGTCTATGCATCTGAGTTATTTAAACTTATTTGATCTTAACTTCTTTGAACAAACTTATTTTTACCCATTGCTTCGGTAACCTCTGCTATTAAAACAGAAAGACACGGTCATGATAGGAAAGGACAGTATCCGCTCTCTATGAATGTCGGTGTATAATGCTATGTAGTGACGATAGACAAACCCGCGGTCGGCATAGTGTCTTCATTCTGTTGGTGAATGACACTTGTTGCCTAGCACTGAATTGTGCTAGGTTCCAGTCGACTCCAACTACCAGTTGCGTTTCCGATTCGTAGGTACAACGCGCATGCAACGCAAATATTTGACAACAACCTGTTCAATTCACACCAAGCCATACCCGTGATTTCCTCAACTCTCGCCCACCATTGACCTCAACCTCCCTGACATACGTTCTACAGCCCAGCTGGACGGCAACTTCCGCTACATGCAGAACTATCTGGTGTCGGGCCACGTGCGCCGTCTGGAGCGCGCCAAACGGAGCGCGGCGGCGCGCGCGCTGCGTCACGTCTCGCTGAGCGACCACAGCGACCTGGTGGCGCAGGCTGCGCTCTGTCTGCAGAGCGTCATCAACCACCAGCACGGCGACACGCTGCGAGACCATATGGACTGGATCGGTGAGAGACGACAGGACTGGATCAGTGAGATATCGGGACTGGATCGGTGAGAGCCAACGGGCTGGATCGGCGAAATATCGGGACTGGATCGGCGAGAGACCAGATAGACTGGATCGGTGAGAGACCAGATGGACTGGATCGGTGAGACATTAGATGGACTGGATCGGTGAGATGTCAGATGGACTTGTTCGGTGAGCGGTCAGATAGACTGGAGTCTGGATTTGTGAGATCAGATGGACTGGATCGGTGAGATAGACTGGATCGGTGAGCGGGGTGGGGGAGGAGAGGACCTGCCGGAAGACGCGAGTGAGAGGTGGGGTCAGTGAGCCAACTCTGCTCCACAGCTGTCATTTGATGGTTTTGTGCCGGATGGCGAGCCCTGTGATGTAAGTGGGCTACACTCAGCCTAGCTAAACCGACTGCCCTGACCCTCTCCCTCCCTCCCACGCCGGCAGAGGGCCAGAACTCGTCCCTGAAGCACTCGCTGGCCCCGCTGCGCCGGCTGGACCCGCCAGCTGTGGTCTCCGCGCCGTCCGGCTCCGACTGCTCCATCTTCCGCACGGAGCCGGCGCCGGCGGCGTCGGACGACGGCGGCCCGCTGCGACTGCGCGTCGAGGGCATCACGCACCTGCTGACGGCCGCGCGGCCCTCGTCCGCCGAACGGGCGCTCATCGACAACGTGCGGGACACCACGCTGGAGCGACTGCGGCCGGACGAGGACGAGCAGAGGGCGCGCGCGCTGGCCAAACTGGTGCGGCCGGCGGCCAGCGAGCACGGCGGCTCGGACGACTCGCTGAGCCGCTCCGGATCAGAGTCTGATGTCAGCCGCCTCAGCGACGACCAGCTGCTGCCCTTCGAGTCGCCCATTCAGGTGAGTCGGAGAATCATCCGCACGGCCGTGAGCAATGTTTGAGCATTCATCAACCGTAGGTATCACGAAAGTAGAACTTAAGGAAAATGAATGTTTGGGGGCGCGTGTCACTAATCATTTGGGCACAAGCGAGTCTCTGGACCGCTTCTAACGGTGCAGACCACGCCACACAGCCGTGGTTACTTGTCCTGTCCGACCTGCCCGTTCAGTTTGGCAGTAGTGTACCCCTGAGTTCCCCGCTCGGCTCGTTGCCCGCAGGTGCCGGCGTCGGTGCGGAGACAGGCGCTGCGCCCGTTCGAGGAGTGGTCGCGCCAGCGGCACTGGTGGCGCGTGCAGGCGCCACGGCCGCGCACCCGGCGCTGGCCGGTCACCGGGCCGCACCTGGCGCTCTACGCCGACCAACCACCCGTGTTCGACCTGTCCGGGCCCAAGGTGATCAACGAGAGCCCGTCCGTGTCGTCGGCGCACATCTCGGACGACTGGGAGCTCGGCAAGGTGGGCTGGCAGGAGCACCTGCGGCGCCGCTCAGTCATCAGCGCCGGCAGCGCCGGCCCCGGCCTGGACGCGCCGCCGGCCGCCGGCCGGGCGCACAGCGGCGCTCTGGACACCAGGGCCGGCTCCTCGCGGGCCGCGACCGGGAGAGCCGGCGGCACCGCGCCACCCGCGGCCCGTACTGGGAGGTCGGCCACGGGACGGCCCTCCGGCAGCTCACTGGCCAAGAGCTCCTCCAGGAGCGAGGTGAAGACAAACGCGTCGAAACAATCGATAACCAGTGCCGGTTCATCGAAAAGCGTCACGACAAAGGCATCATCCAAAGCGACATTGAAAACTGTCTGAGCAAAATACCGACGATAAATTATTTCTTTCTTGTGCATTCAATGACCTTTTTTTGCAAAATGATAGCATCTGCAAGTACCTGTATTTAAGCGGCGACGGAATACACAGTCTATTGCACCAAATACATGGCAAAATCCACCAGTCATTCGCCTCTCGATCACGGTCACAAGTTGCCCATTCAACAGTAGCGGCTCGAAAACCATCGTCGGTACGACACAACGTGTCAATATAAAAGTGGTGCGCACGACAAATGCCAAACTTCACATGGGGTGTCCAAAATCAATCCAACCTGATCTCACAAGTGGAACAGTGGCCATCGGCTCAAAACGGCCAATATGACTAACACACGGCAGCAAAACGGGCACCAAAAGGATGACAGTCAGTAGACACGGACAAAAGTCAATGCCATCTGATAACAAGGCCAATATTCGACATCTTTCTTACAAACATCATCGTCT